CAGGCCTACGCGCAGGCGTCGGTCCACTTCCCCTCGTGGTTCCCGGACAGCTCGGACCGGCACGAGCCGCGGTGGGCGGCCGAGGAGCCCGGGGGAACCACGCGACCCAGAGGTCCGAGGATACTCAGCGAGCGAAGAACGGTATAAGATAAACTTTCCAGCCGCCCAGGGACAGGCGCCCCCGACGGCGAAAAAGTTTATTTTGTACCGTTCTTCGCCCGTTAAGATACAGTCGGCCCGGATTAGTGGGTCGACCCTGCCAAGTCAAGGGTACCCTTGTGTCCTGTGTCTCGCGGCCCGTGCTTCCTGCATTCCTGCGGCAATGTGGCCCTCGGAAGGGTCTTGTGTCCTCTCGCGTGTCCTGCCCAATCGAGTCCGACTGTACGTTTTTTCCCAGCGTTTTCTCTTGCAGAGTTTCACAGCGAACTCTGGCAGGGCAAGGCGATCACGGAGTGGTGCAATTCGCACCTTCAGGGCAAAGCTGCACTGCCCTGGCAGGGCAAAGGTGATCAGGAAATCGCTGGCAGTACTTTCTTCGGAGGTCCAAGGTCCCAGCGTCTTTTCCGTGGATTTCGGCCTCCGTGGCCCGTTATCGGGCCCGGGGGCCATCAGAGATGGACCCAGGACGGAAAGCCACCCCCGGGGAAGGTGTCGGGACCTTTGTGGCCGCGGATTGAACAAATCATACAGTCGGGGCCCTGAATAAGGAACCCTTTTCGTCGGGGAGGGGCTCCGCGTCCCTTAAGTGTTCCACAGCTTGCCTCAGGTTTTCCTTATACTTCCAATAGGGAATCGAAGCTTAACTTATGGAAAAAACTATTGCCACCAACACCGAAATCTAGGATCACCTTCCCCCTGTGAAGGCAGGCCCCTGTGTTGGTGTTGGTGCCCGTTTCCAGGCCTCCAAGTCGGGGCCTCTGTGGCCGCGGGTGGAACAAATCATACCGGCGGATGTCCGGGTGCACGAGCGGCAGGCTCGCGTGTCGACCGGCGGCGACCCCGCCGCCGGCGTTCAGCGTCGGACGCCGCCGGCGACCCAGAATCGTTTGATATTGAACGATCTGACGTTTCGGAGACGGCCGATCGTTCAAGGCTGATCGGGAGGGAGAAAGACGCACAGACACAATTGATCGCCGATTCCCCCAGAAAATTCGGGTTTTATTTGGGAAACCATGGGAACATGCAGGGAATCTGGTGATTCGTGTCTATCTATTTGTGTGTCCCAGGGCCCCTTCAGTTGAATGATCCCCGCGGTGTCAGGAGTCAGCGTCGGGGTCGGCAGGACGCGAACCGGTCATAAGGGAGGAGCGGCGATTTCGGCAGCAGCTCGTGGGAGCCTCGCAGGCCCTCGCAGTGCCCTCTTTCGAGCGCGTCAGTCTACGCTATCGCAGCGTCTGGTAATCGACGGTCCATCGCCGATTGCAGCGTCGAATGTGTTGATTTCTCGCCGAGAAGCGCCGCCCCGCCCCGCCTCGAGCAGGAGGAGGAGGAGGAGGAGGAGGAGGAGGAGGAGTAGAGGAGAGGAGGAGGAGGAGGAGGAGGACCCCCTCTCCCTCCAACTTGTGGTGATGGTGGTGGTGGTGGAGAGCAGGGTCAGCAGCTGCGTGCACTCCTCGGGGCCCTCTCCCCGCCCCGCCTCGTGCAGGAGCCCGCGAGCCCTGCGGCGGCCTGGCCCGCGCCCCGCCCCCCCGCGCACGGCGCGGCCACGCCGGCGGCGGGCCTGCCGCTGCGGGCGGTGCCGGCCCGCCCCGGCTGGAACGAGGCGTGCCGGGCGGACGAGGAGCCCTCGGAGCCGAGGCTCCGAAAAAGCTGGAGCGGCGGGCTTTGGGGCGTTGTCGGCCTCCGGGGGGCGACGAGGGCCTCCGAGGAGGCCCAAATCTGGGAAAATGGCCGAAGGGTAGAGGTATTGGTACTCTTTCTTCCTCTCGGTATCTGTGACATCCTGGAACTCGACACTACCATGCCGTACTGCCCGACCTCGCCAGGCCTCGGGAGGGTTGAAGAAACGGCTCAGGACAGAAAGCCGGCCCCAGGGAGGTGGTCCGGACCGTCGGGATCCACGCACCCAAAAAATTGGAGCAGCTGGATGTCTGGGAGCGGGGTCCAGGCATGATCGCGTCGTGAAGGAGTGAGGACGGAGGTTTCTGTCGCCGCTTTCGGCTCCCCGGACCGTGGAAGGAGAAGGGCCCAGGACGGGATGCAAAGCCGGTCCCAGGGAAGGGGCCGGGACTTGGGGGCCGCGTGTCGGAGAAATCGGGACGTCGCATGTCTGGGGTTCGCCGTGAAGGGAGGGGGGTTCTGGAGCTCGTTCCGGGGATTGGGGTTCGAGCCGTTCCGGGCCTCGCCGGCGTCCCTCGTCGCCACGGCGGCACGCAGCTCGGAAAGCCGGCCAGGAAGGACCCCGGGAGGGGTCCAGGGATGGATTTCGAGTGAACTTCGAGGCATCGCCATGAGTGAACTTCGAGGGATGAGTTTCGAGTGAACTTCGAGAGGGGTGCTTGCGGAGGGAAGCGGGTCCCGGAGGTTTTCGCCCAGAGCCATGGACCTTTGTGCAGCGTCTGTCGAGCGGGGCCGAGGCGCGAGGGTCCCGGATCCAGGAGCCGGGCGGGACCACCCGCTGCGGAGACATCGCGACGCCCAGGCCTCACGGCTTCTTCTGGCTTCCTGCTGTCGGACAGTCGCTCGAGCGCCACGTTCAGCTGGTCGCATGCGCCACCCTCCTCCGCCTCCTCCTCCTCCTCCTCCTCCTCCTCCTCCTCCTCTTGCTCCTCCTCCTCCTCCTCCTCTTGCTGCTCCTCCTCCTCCTCCTTTTTGGAAGTTGCTCGGACTTGGAGTGCTGGCACGAACGGACTTGACGAAGCGGTAAGGGGCTAATTAGCCTGGCGGGCACAGCGGAAACATACGCTTACAAAAAAAAACGGCGAAGCGGAAGAAACATGGGTATGCGCCCGCCAGGTGGTAAATACGGCATGCCTGTGTACCTTAGTACGACAACCACACCCCCCACAATAGTCAAAACCCTGCCACCTCATTCAGGTCTGGCAAGCCGTGTGCTGAAGGACGTGCATTCAAAAGAACGGGCGATGCAAGGAACGGTCGGAGGGGGGATACGAGTACAACGAGGACTACGTAATACATGAACAGAGGAATTTATTAGGGGGATGGGGCAATGCAGGAGGTCTCGCCACTGTAATCTCCCGGAAGTGGGATTGAAAAGGTAAAAAGCTGGATACTCGCGACACGTCAGACGGAAAAAGGTTAAACATAAGCGACCACATGCTGGAAAATGCTTGCTGAAATGGCCGCAGGCCCCGTAGACCATCCCCCCACACTCCAAGTCTCACCGCCACCGTCCCCATGTCTAACATATCGGGCCTGCGTGGCTATGCCAGAACGGTAAAGAGCTCCAAGCTGGAGTCGTAAGAAAGTGCAAGCATAGCAGTTCTTGGATTGCAGCCCAGGGTTTTTCGGTTCACCCCAAGCTTCCCTGGACCCAGGACCCTCGTGCTTTTTGAATGTTCTTCTTTTCGGGTTAAGCACGAACCCAATGTACCATAAAAGAGGGGCCGTATGGGTGGGCTATCCAGGAGGACTGGCCTGTGTTATGGCCTCTCTCTACCTCTCTCCTCTTCCTCCTCCTCTTCCTTCTGCTCATCCTCCTCCTCCTTCTCCTCCTCGTCTTCGTCCTCGTCCTCGTCCTCGTCATCGTCATTCTTATCATCACGATCTTCATCATCATCATCATCATCATCATCATCATCATCCTCATCCTCATCCTCATCCTCATCAGCATCATCATCATCGTCGTCGTCATCATCACCATCGCCACCACCACCATCGTCATCGTCATCATCATCATTATCACCATCATCATCATCATCATCACCACCATCACTACCATCACCACCATCATCATACTCATCATCATTACCATCATCATCATCAGCATCATCATCATCGTCATCATCATCATCACCATCACCACCACCATCGCCATCGTCATCATCACCATCACCACCATCACTACCACCACCATCATCAGCACAATCATCTTCAGCATCATCAGCAGCATCATCATCTTCATCATCATCATCATAATCATCATCATCATCATCATCATCATCATCATCATCATCATCATCATATTCGTCATTACCGTCATCATACTAATCATCATCAGCATCATCAGCATCATCAGCATCATCAGCATCATCAGCATCACCATCACCATCACCATCACCATCACCATCACCATCACCATCACCATCACCATCACCATCATCATCATCATCATCACCATCATCACCATCATCATCAACATCGGGGCCGAACGGTCATTCATTGTCCCTGGGTGCGTGGCTGAAGAAGGAATTCGTGGTGAGAATTCTGCTTGTTGCGTTGTTGTTGTTGTTGTTGTTGTTGTTGTTGTTGTTGTTGTTGTTGTTGTTGTTGTTGAACATTATTTATTCTAAAGAATAATTATTGTTGGGCCCCCTGGTGCGCGCCCCCCCTGCGCCGCCTAGGCCGCAGCTACATTTTCATCATTTTCGTGAGGAAGCCTCAGAAAAGAGGGTGTGTACAGGATCCGGTTGTTTTGTTGTAATCCGCTTTCCCTTGCAAAAAACAATAGAAAATGACATTTCTTGTTCTAATATAATCAAATTTCAAGAATCCCTTGCAAAAAATAAGGTAAAGTGGACATTCGCGCGCGCAAGACGAAATCCTTCCAAAACCTTAGTGTTCGTAGCGATTTTAACATAAAAACATAAAAAACCAATGGTTTTTCAAAAAAAATGTCAAAATCTCATCCCGCGCGCTCTTGCGGATTCGTAGGAAACCCAACACTTTTTAAACATTTCTGTCAAACGGGCTTTTGCGAGCAACTTTTTCGAACTTCTGCAACAACGGTTGCGCACCTGCCAGGGCCATCATCCCTGTCAAATAATACCATGCGGGACACATTCGTTTTTTCTTCGCGCGCGCACGCCGTCGTCGTCGGC